TTGGTTGACAACTGTTACATGAATTTGTATTCATTGCATATATTGTTTTTATGAGAATAAATAGATCTAAAGAATATAAGTTACACTTAACAAAAACTCAACTCTTTTCAACATCAAAGATCAATAAGAAAGGAAAAACCAAGAAAGGATCCAAAACGAACCATTAAGAACAAATTAAGACTATGAAGGGTTAAATCGGTTTGAGTAAGCATCGCAAACATTGCCCCGTGAGAAAGATACTTCAAGTAAGGGATAAGCCCAAATAAAAATGTCATCATATGTTTCTCTACTAAATGATCAAATGCCTTCAAGGTCTTTGTATACCAATCGAGAGGCACCGGACCCTATTCTAAAAGCTTAGTTCCTACAATCACCATAAACTAAGGCTCTTTCCATTATGGACCTTGCGAGTTGAAGGAATCAAGAAAACTAAGATGATAGAAAAATTCAATGAAGAGTTATCTTATATTGAAGAACGACTTAAGGTAATAGAAGGCATGGATTTATATGATCCGATGAGAGTTAAGGAGATGTGCTTCATGCCATATGTGGTGATTTTGAAAAATTTTAAGGTTCCTAAGTTCACCAAGTACAATAGTACTCAATATCTAAAATTTTTTTTTTGCATTTATTATGGAAAAAATGATAGAAGTTATACGAGGATGTGAAGGTACTCATCCATTTTTTTCATAAAAGCCTAGATGGTGTCGCCTTTAGTTGTTACATGCATCTTGATAGAGCCAAGATTCAAAAATAGAAGGATTTGTTAAATGAATTCATCTATAAGTATAAGTTCAATTTAGAAATGATTCTTGATAAAACAACTATACAAAGTATAAAAAAGGATCCAAAAGAGACTATCAAAGAGTATGCACAAAGATGACATAAAATCGTTGCCCAAATATATCTCGCCATTGATAAAAAAAAGCTAATTCTTATATTCACATTTTAGTTATACATTTAGAATATGAGAATACATTTGGTAGTTAGTTTGCAATATCTTGTAAATAAATTATCTTTTGAACTTCTAGTTCATATTATTTTGTACAAAGATAAAGATGATATAAGATAGATTACTCCATGTAATCTCTTTTTCAATATTTCGAACTCGCTTATTTTGTTTATTCCCCCTAATGTTCATATTGTTTTTTATGAGTATCAAGATGATATAAGATAGATTACTCCATGTAATCTCTTTTTCAACATTTCAAACTTCTTATTTTGTTTATTCTCTCCCCCTAATGTTCACATTGTTTTGTGCGAGTATCAAGATGATATAAGATAGATAACTCCATGTAATCTCTTTTTTAACATTTTAAATTGCTTATTTTGTTTATTCTCTCCCCTAATGTTGGAAGAAGCTGTTTCATCAAAATGACGAGTCGATAAATTGAGCTATAAAAATATCTCTTATTCATGGTTCAAGATATTTAATTATCGAAAAGGATTTAAATCCAACATATATTTTCAATCTCATTGAAGTGCTTATTTTAGTTCATTATGGAGGAGAAATGAGCAACTGCAGATATATACTTGTAATGCCAAAAAAATTCTTAAATAAGAAATATTTGGCTCATGACCATAAACCAATTAAAGGGAAGAGATTTTCTAATTACTTATGGATCTAATGCAAATAAGTGTTGTTGTATGGAAGATTGCAAGTCTCCAAACATAAACAAAGAGTTTTATTTTAAATAATGATTTAGCTATCAATTGGAGCCTTTTGGTAAATGAATTTGCTAAACCTTTTTGAGTATGAACATAAGCAATAGGATGTTTAACCTTTATTCTAATAGCCAATTAATAATAATTTGATGCTTAAGAAATAAATTCACCAATATTATCAAGGTGACTTATTTTAATGGCATAATCTAAAAATTATGCTCAAAATCAAATTATTTGCTAGCAATCTCGAAAACTTCGGGTTTCAAGTAGATAATAAGCATACATGTGACTATCTTGTGGATGTCTTTATTAAAATCAAAATATTTAAATGGTCTATATGATGGATGAATTGATCCACATATATCACCTTGAATATATTCTAAAACTACTAAAGATTTAATCTCAATTTTACTTGGTGATGGCTTAATCATCAATTTTCCTTAACAATATGCAAAACATGAAAATTCGTTAAATTAAAAAATCTTTTAGCTCTTCGATAGATGTTCATATGAATTTTTAATAATTTTTTTGTATCATGAAAGATCCAAGATAACACAACTAGTTATGCCACATAATAAAAGTATTTGAATTAGTAAACTTCGGGTTTACTATATTATTGGTTTCAATCATTCTATGTTTGTAATAAAAACTAGAAGAGAAAGTAGATAAATTTTTAATATATATTTTCTACTCGGTATAATGATTATAATATATAATCATTTGCTATCTTGATATGATATCAATTTAGACAAATATTTTTGAAACTCAACAAATTTCTATAAGACTTTGAAGAGAATAGTACATCATTTATAATAAAATTTATCCTTTTAGATAATAACATATTTGCTCTTCCGGAGCCTCTAAATTATATCACTTGAAGTAATAATATATTGACTCTTCTAGAGCCTTTAGAAGTTGTCTATTCAAGTGATAATATATTTACTCTTCTAGAGCTTCAAAAATTTGTCTCTTTAAGCCATAATATAATCACTATTATGGAGTTTTTGTTTTGTTAAATTGATATTATCAAATGTAATATTAACACAAAATAAATAAATAAATAAATTCTTTATAACCATAAATAAATAAATAAATAAATTTATCAATGTCTTTATGCAATAAAAATTATAAGAAAATATAAACCATCTTATTTATAAATAGAAAAGTTAACCGGTTATTAATTTCAATTACCTCCATTTCGATATATAAAATTGATCTCTATATTTTACTCTTTTCTTTTTCAATGAGGTTTTATAAGACTTAATAAGGTGTTTTGGTGTATGGCGGGTATACGACTAATGTCTATTCATACCATATCTATAATATTCATTTTTAAAATACTAACTTCATCTTCTTTTTTTCATAGTTATTCACTTCGATGCTTGAGATGTAATATTATGGTCATCATGATTATAATGATAATTATTTCGATCATGTCCATGGTTATGACCACGTCTTTGTTCATGTCTAAAATTATTATAAGTTGTCATATTCACTTCGGGGAATGGAGTAGATCCGATTGGATGAGATTTATTCTTTTTCATCAATAGCTTGTTATTTTATTTAGCTACGAGCAAGTATGAAATCGATTCGAATATTTCTTAAACTCTTTTTCTCGATATGCTATTGTAGGAGCATATTCGAGAAATGAAAAATAAAGAATATTTACTCGGGATCAAACACTCATGATCAATAATGCTTGCCCAAAATGTCAAGGGCCACAAAATAAAGTTTTATGAGGTTTGATATCATAAAAATTCTATAATGCAAAGTATAATAATAATATTAAGAAATAAAAACAAAAATATAATGATAAAATTTAAATAAAAACAAACATAATAATAAAATTTAAACTTTTCAAATAATATATATTAGATTATTAGATTCTATATATTAAATCCTTTAAGTTTTTAAAATGTATATTTTATGTATCATTATATTTAAAGTGCATGATAAATTATATACATACCTCTTAATGATCTAAATAATTTATATTTTTTGGTAAAACACTTGTGTAGAAAAAATCCAATGATTAAAATAAATGATTAAGTCTTTTGATAAATACGTATCTCATGGTCTATTATCTCGATTGGTTAGAGCTTCGTGTCGATAACATATTATAAAAGAAATGGTAACAATAATAGAATTTGAGAAAAAAAATGATGAAGAAATGATTTAAGCTGTAAAATAAAAAGAATAGAAAAGATAACAACTCTAAATAATCTCTCAATCTCTAAAAAATGCTTGTGCATAAGCTAATGAACAATTAAATCTATTTATGAGCTTCAAAATTAGGAAGAAAATTTGAAAGGATTATGACCCATTAAAAGATGCATAAATAATTAATTGCATTACTTTTTTAATTTTTCATATTGAATGATGAATTAAATCATATGAATAGTGAGGAATATGAACTAAATATTTATTATTTCATAACAGTGACAAAGATATTTATTTTTTGTTTATACTTATTAACATGTTGTGCCCACCTTGACCCTTTTGAAAGATTATGGATCTTAAAAATCAGGCTAGGTAGGCTCCTTCTTATGGGCCAAGAGTCCCTTTTTCAATAAAAAGCTTCACATTTTTGGTGGGTTGAGAAAGTAGCCCACCCCATGTTTGGATCTACTTGGAACTGGACTGGGCTTTAGAGATAAATTTTACAATTAGAAAGATAAATAAATTCTGCTGCTCAAATACCAGTTCTATCTCCTGTCTCCTTTGCTAAAGTTGGATCATCAGTAACTAAGATATATATATATATATTTTCTGATTTGGGTTCTTAATTTTTTTTAGTTTACAATTAAATATTTTTATTATATTGATAAATTTCAGATCACATTGGACGTACATAAAAAATATATAAAATTATAAAATCATGATATATATATCCTTTTAAAAATCTTAGGTATCTGCATCTTGTATGTCTGTCGTTAAAAATTGAGGAAGTTACATGAAAATTTGAATAAAATGTAGAGATAACCAGCTTTCAACACGTTGCCTAAAGACACATGGGATACACCCTTTTAATATACACAGATACACACAAACAAATACGTAGGTTTTGAAAATCAAGACACAATACAAATATTGTTATATCATATTGCAGAGTTTGACTTACCTGACATGGAGAGCAAGACTGATTGAGTGCAGTCGCTCCCACCAACCAGGCATCAATTACTATGCTGTGGGCCTCCCTACTCATGGTATGGGGCCATAATTGGGAGTCCAAAAAATCTAAAATATCGACAACGTATGACATGCCATTGCAAAATCAATAATGTTGGAGTTTTTTTTTTTTTTTTTTTTAATATGCATTGATGGGATCATTAATAATGGAAATCATGTTAAAATACAAGTTGGAATTAATTAGTGAAAGAGCTCATGATTTGACGACAATTGAGAAACACAAGTTGTTTTCTCTTGTTTTTAAGGTTGTTTTTCCCTTGACCATATTTTTGATTGATTAAGTTTTCTACGGTAGACAAACATGTGAACAAGAGTAAAAGTGTTCAAACACATTTATTAATTCTGAGATCGACTATTACACTATTTTTAAAGTCAGATCAACCCAAGCATAATATCACTACTTATCTATGGATAATGAAAGTTGACATAATATAGGAGTTTACAACGTATGTTTGTTGTTCGAAGATTACAAGAGTGTGTGATTTATTTCACTCTCTATATTTGCTAACCTATCCACCTTTTAAACAGATAACTTAGAAGGATACATCTGTATTTAACAATACAAATCTCTTTCTCATTCGTAATGACATGTTCTTTTTTATGAATACGAAGACATGAGCATTGAAAACATGTTAAAATAAAATCATTGTCTAATATACGAAATTACGAAATGCCTTGGCCGCCCATGACCCTTTCCCGAATATTATATACAGAAATCAGAAAAATATGCTGAATGCTCTCTATACGCTGAATGCTCCTCCTTTCCCAAAATTATAGAATCCTAATTGTTCCCTCCATGTAATTCTGGTCCTAAGCTTTAGGTGTGAGTACTCTGTCACTGCTATAAAGAGATTGTTATTTTTTTATATAGATAAATATTATTAACCTATTTTTATATAATATTCAAAGCTTTTTATACATTTTTATGTTTCTAATTATATCTTATTTATTCTTCAAAGTATTTGAAATGTTTAATCTATCATACTAATCAATTTTTTTGACAAAATTTTCAAAAATACCTTTGATTAAAGTATGAAATAAAATTCTAAAGACTTAAAAATGAAACATATAGATTATGTAACTTTAAGCGTTTTATTCTTTTAATTTTTTTTTTGTATTTTAATAAAGAGTATTTAGGTCATAAAATTTTTATGATCGAAAAATTTTATCAAAAAAACATATTGAACATTTCAAAAATTTTCAAAAACAAATGAGATGCAATTAAAAATTTAGAGATAGATGAAAAAATTTGCATATTATATAAATACAAATGAGTGTATTTATATTTTTTTATTTATATCTAATTTAGTTAAAATTTTAAATAATGTATTTTCTAAAATATGTTTTATTGATAAAAAAATGATTTTTTGTTCTTCAATAACAAAAAACAGTATTCTTTATACTTTTTTCTTGTATTATTCAAATATTTTCAATAAAAAAAATTGTTGCATAAAAAATATTTATTTTTATAGAAATTTTACTGCATGTCAAAAATTTGAGAGTAAACTATTTTCATTGATATGTTATTTTTATATAGTTGTTTTAAACTTGATTGTTAATTTACTTAATGAATATTCTTTTGATTTATCACTTTAATTTTAAACATATTTTTTGCTTAAGTTAATATTATTTCTATGTAATACATGATTAAATTTGATAACTAACAATCTTAAAAAATATATATATTTTAGAAAAATATAAATAAAAATTCCTAGATGATATAACAATTAATATAAAAATTCCTATATGATATAACAATTAATAAAATTTTAAAATTGTCTAAAAAGTCAAAGAAGACAATTTCTTTAAGACAAAGAGAGTAATATTTTCACTTGGATGCATTGTTAATAAGTTTTTTTTTTTGTAAGAATAAAACTTGTCTTCTCTGCTTGTCATTTCATAAAAATGGTCTCATTTCATACAAAATTAAATAATAAATTTTTGAATCATTATATGTGAAAAATTTTTTGAACTTAATTATTTTATATTATCTCATAATAAAGTGTGAAATTTTAAATTTGAAAAATTTCAGATAAAAGTGATAAAATTAACTATATTTCGCTTCACATGAAACTATAGATTGAAAGTCTAAAGTTAAAATATTTATCCCATAAGATAGGAAATTATTATATAAATAAACACATAGGATATTAATATTTGTTTTTTTTTTAATATACCCGTAGTTATTAAACGATAGAAATCTTATCTAAATGAAAATTATAAAATCAAAGTGGAATAAAAATTTATTAAAAAGGGAATAAAACTAGTCTTAGGGTTAATGATCGATAATAATAAATCAATAAATAAATATATGACAAAGATACTTATTTTTTCTTTATAGTTATTAACATGTTCAACCCACCCTTGACCCCTGTTGAAAGATTATGGATTTTTAAAACCAGGCTAGGTAGGCTCCTTCTTATGGGCCATGAGTCCGTTTTTCAATAAAAAGCATCATATTTTTGGTGGGTTGGGAAAGTAGCCCAAAACATGTTTGGATCTACTTAGAACTGGACTGACTTTAGAGATAAATTTTACAATTGGAAAGACAAATAAATTCTGCTGCTAACTGAATTAGAAAAATTAAAGTTTTTAGTTGAAAGATTTTTAAAATTTTTTAAATATAACTATATAATCCTCATATATTTTTATAACCCTATTTATACAAATTCATTAAGAAACGATATCTACTGTTCCTATTGTAAAAATAGAAAAGACCTTCTCTATTATCATATATATATATATATATATATATTTTTTGGTGTTTAGTCCAAAAGCTTTTTTCGCTTTTCATAGCAGGCAAGTGAACCAAAGGTAGGTAAAAGATCACAATAAAAAGGATAAAAAACAAAGATGACAGGTTAATCATATTCTCAAAACGTAGATCTAGGATATACAATAAACAAGTGAGTCGGTGACTTTATGTGGTGCTGAGGTTGGTGTGCTAGTGTTCTCACCGGCTAGCAAGCCTTTTTCCTATGGTCATCCATCTATAGAATCTGTTACAAATTGATTCTTTGGATAAAACCCACCACCAAATGATAGCAGACACTTTTTTATTTAATTTTTTTTATTAATGATTTTTTTATTGAAATTTTATTTATACACACCAACACAACTACATATATATTTTTATTTGTGTTAAAAATATTATGTTACAAGTGCAAGGTTAAAATTGTCATATATATAGCTTTAATATATTTAGTAACAGTACTTATCAAACAACCTTATTATTTCAACACTTAATTTCGGTAAATGTCAAATAGTTTGTTAGTAATATATCGGTACTTAATTATTCAACACATAAAATTCAGTAGTTAACAGATTTAACACTTAATTTTCAGTTTTATCAAACACCACCTAAGTCCATCATATAGCAGTTCTATCTCCCTTTGCTAAAGCTTGGATCATCTATAACTAAGATAAATATATATATATATTTTTTTCTGATTTGGGTTCTTAGTTTTTTTTTTTAAGTTTGCAATTAATATTTTTATTACATTGATAAATTTCAGATCACATTAGACGCACGTGAAAGACACATAAAATCATAAAACAATAATATATGTTTTATGATTAGAGTTTTTAAGATATGTGTCATTGTTTTAATGTCTTCACTTGTTTTTTATAGATTGCTTGAGATTGATCAATGGAAAGGAATAATTTAATAACAGATAAAAAAATAAAATAAAATATCATAGACTTAAAAAAAATATATAAAAAAAAATTTTAATCATTAATTCAAGATACTTTATAATTAATTATCAATGACGAATCTAATAAATTTGTGAATTTTTATTTTTTATGTCTTGGTATTAGACTTAAAATTAAATAGTACAGCCATTAAGCCAATTCTTTTAAAATAGTTAGGTATCAGCATCTTGTATGTGGTGGTTAAAAATTGAGGATGTTACATGAAAATTTGAATAAAATGTAGAGATAATCAGCTTTCAACACCTTGCCTAAAGACACGTGGGATAAACCCTTTTAATATACACAGATACAAACAAACAAATACGTAGGTTTTGAAAATCAAGACACAATATTGTTACATCGGGATTTAGATTGCAACAGCTCACCAACCTTATATCATCAGATCCATTATTATTTATCCATATCATATTGCAGAGGTTGACTTATCTGACATGTAGAGCAAGACTGATTGGGTGCAACTCTCCCACAAACTAGGCATCAATTACTATGTTGTCGGCCTCCCTACTCATGGTTTGGGGCCACAATTGGGAGTGCAAAAAATCTAAAATATCCACAACGTATAAGATGCCATTGCAAAATTAATAATGTTGGAGGTTATTTATTTATTTTTTAAGATGCATTAATGGGATCATTAATAATGGAAATCCTGGCGTAGGATTTTATTTTATTTTTTTGATAAGTGGAGTAATTAAATTAATAAACGTTAAAGACATAGTAGTTAATAAAATAATAATAATACAGAGAACCAACTGCAGATATAAGAACAAGAAAAAATAGATAGATAAATAAATAAAGCAACCCAAAAACAAAACAAAAGATCCAAAGTACATTAGAACTATTTTCAGTTAAATTATTTTTTATTTTATTTTACAATTAAAAGTATTTTTGTATTAGTTTTTTTTTTTTTTTTGCAAATTAAATATAAGATTTCATTTGTTTCATGTAAAATAACTTGTTTAAAATATTTTTTTTGAAACAGATATTACTTTTCATTGTTTGACTATATTAATGAAAACTATTCAAAAGCATTTTTTGGTGCTTGGTGTGTGTGTGTGTGTGTGTTAAAAAGTAAGAGATAAGAATTAATTAGTGAAGGATCGGAGCTCATGATTTGACGACAATTGAGAAACACAAGATGTTTTATCTTGTTTTAAGGTTGTTTTTTCCCTTGACCATATTTTTGATTGATTAAGTTTTCTACGGTAGACAAACATGTGAACAAGAGTGTCGTTACCCGACGTCGGACGAGACTCCTAAAATTAAAAGACTAATGTGATTAATATTTATAAGTTTATTTACAAAGCTTTGGAGTCTCCACCTAATATTAAGGAACTAGAAACCTAAAAATAACATCGGTCTAGAGATTCTATGGTAAGGAGTTGGTTACTCTTTTAAGAAGATAATTATTCATCCTAAAAGTGCTCTCTTCGAAGAAAGGTACCACATCTTGTTTTAGTCCTAAATTTATCTCTTACATTGTTTATCTATGCCAACTTGTTTTCTAATTTTGAACATTTTTTTAAAAAAATTAAATTTTTAATTTTTGAGCGTGGCATCGTATTGAAATGATCGTCCGTCCCCTTTGTCGGGCGACACATCGGTTCAAACATCGGATCCACTTTAATCCTCAATGCAACCAATGTATTGGAGGACACTCTAATTATTAAATGTTGAATATTATTATTATTATTATTATTTTTTTTTTTTGTAACGACGGTCCCTATCGGATAGGAGACCTCGTCCCGAAACGACAGATCCCTATCAAAAGGAGACTTCGCCGAGCATTATATATATACACACTTTTTTTTCTTGAATTAACAACAAAACATGCATAAATAAAAAATTAACAAAAAAAATATTTACAGAGAAATTAAATATTAACTCGCTAAATTAAATGTAAGTTGATAAAAATGCAATTATTTTAAGACTAAAAAAAATACTAAAAAAAAATTGAAGATCATAAAATATCTTGAATATGAAATGCACAAACCTAAATTCTAGTGGGACACTTTATTTTTATTTTTTTACTTTTTTCAATATTCTTTTCTTCCCTTTTTGTTACCCCATTTTATTTATTATTTCCGTCCCCTTATTATTATTATTTTTTTTACCCTTTTTATACATTTTTTTTAGCCCCATTCTTTTCTTTTTTTGTTTTAGCCTTTTGTTCTATGTGAGTTGGGTTTGGCCCAACTCATGTTTTTTTTTTTAAAGAAGACCCAATTGGCTAAGGCCCTAAAACGAGCCCCTTCCCCTACCTTATTTCTTTTTTTCGATCAAAACAGAAATCAAGATCTCCCGACTTCTTGCCTCTCTCTAGTTCTTCACATGCTTCACTCTCTAAATTTTTTATTTTCCCGAATCCAAGCTTCATCCCAAATGAATTTCTTATCTTAACATGCCATGTTCATGTTCTTATCTCAATCAACTACCCAATGTAAAATGTAAGCCAATAATTAACCATCATTTAGAGCGAAAATTAATGGAATCATAAAAATTGTAAGTCCCGACTCGGTGGATCTTGATGATGATCATTCAAGGTTTCGATTCCGGATGAATTGGAGATTCTTGGTTGTTTAAGGATAGGTTAACGTATATAATCCAAGAACTCGACATAAAAAACCGACTAGGTGTTAGCATGGAACAAGGAACTGGCCGATGAATGCGAAGGATGAACCTAGAAAATTTCCAAGAAAACCAACGAAACCCGTAAGCTACCATTACTATCACCTTGCGAATTTTGTTTGAAATTTCACTCTCAATTTTTTTCTTACACCCCAATGAACCAAAATCTTCCTCAAATCAACATTAACAATCCTTCAACCAATATCGAGGTTAAAGAACATGAACCCGGAAAAATATAAAGCGAGTTACTTGATCTAATAGCTTTCGATCATTCCTCTCCAACCGAATTCTCTCCCCTTTATTTTTTTCTCGCTCTCTTTTCTCTCGGAATCCACTTTCTTCCTTTTTCTCCCCGAGTTCTTACCTCTTTTATAGGCACTTCCATTCGAATTTCACTCCAACTCAAACACCTTCGAACTCGGATTTTTAGCTATCCTACTTTAACTCAAAATTCGTTAATGATTTCAAATTTAATTAGCTAAATAATTAGGGCGGATTGAATTCGAAGAAATCCAAAAAACGATTAGAGGATTGGGATAACTTTCAATCAAATTTTGGAGGGAATTAGGAGTGAAATTCGGGCTAAAGCGAACGACATGTCATTCGCTCAACTTTAGTCTCGTCGTTCGCTCCAAGCTTCTACTTTGGTCCTCGCGAGTCTTAATTATTTGCAATCATGCCTATTTTTGCACAATTTCAGTCATTTAAAGAATATTTTTTTCTTGATTTGGTTCCCATAAATAGCAATTCAAGTACTGAATTTCTTTAATTAATTCAATTATGCCCTTGAAGATTTTGTATATATATATATTTTCTTTTTTTCTTAAAAAATAATTCAACTAAAATAAATAATAAAAAACTAAATAAATTAAATAAATTAAAAATAAATAAATAAATAAATAAAAATAAAAACAAAAATTTTAAAAATAAAAGCTATTATCATTTTTTCATTTTTTTTTTGTTATGATAGTTGCCACCTTTTTACAATGCTTATGGTGTAAAGTCGAGTGAAAAGGTATATTTTCAATGACTTTGTTTAATAAGCTTGTAAAGATTTTCTTTTTGCCTTTTCTTTTAGGTTTTTTTTTTTAAAATTGAAAGTAAAATGGGAATGTGATGGCCAAATTGGAGGGCGACTGCCTCGAAACTTAAGTATGTAGTACATGGCCAAATTGGAGGGCGGCACGCCCCGATAATTAAATATGCAATGCGGGGCCAAATTGAAGGGCGGCCTACCCTAAAAATTAAATATGCAATGCGTGGCCAAATTGAAGAGCGGCTTGCCCCGAGAATTAAACATGCAATGGGTGGCCCAATTCGAGGGCGGCCTACCCCGAAAATTAAATATGCAATGCGTGGCCAAATTGGTGGGCGGCCTACCCTTAAAATTAAATATGCAATACATGACCAAATTGAAGGACGGTCCCGAAAATTAAATACGCAATGCACGACTAAATTGGAGGGTGGCCTACCCTTAAAATTAAATATGCAATACATGACCAAATTGGAGGACGGTTTGTCCCGAAGATTAAATATGCAATACGTAGCCAAATTGGAGGGCGACTTACCCTAAAAATTAAATATGCAATATATGACCAAATTGAAGGGCGACCTACCCTAAAAATTAAATATGCAACGCATGACCAAATTGAAGAGCGGCCTATCCCGAAATTTAAATATGCAAAAATTGTATAAGCCACTTTACCTATTGTGATGATTTGAGTCAATCGACCTTTTCGAAAGTGGCCGTTTGACTTTGGGGGTCGCCCTTGGGCAATGGTCTATTGCGAGATGACCTTACTTGACGAGCATTTATGGAAAAGCCTAGTTTTTTTACTTTCATAATATTTCATTATTCGAGATTTGCTATGGATTCTCTACCCTCTTTAAGACTGCGATGTACACGAAATACAACTTAGCATGATGGTTAGTTGAGGTACTTGTAAGAAACGTAGGCCACTTCACCCAAGTTCCCCTTTTGACTTTTCTCTTTCGAGCTATCCAATTCGTTTCGGGACTAATTGGTTATTTGTGATTTGAGTACTGCAACCTTGCCCCTCGCTCGTATCTCATCTTCCTCATAACCTTGGATTAATCAATCACTTCGGATGTTTATTTTTAGTAAAACAAATGTATTTATCCATTGACGGTAATGGTCATTCCCAAATATAAGTGTTTGTTGATTGATCGCTTACATTTGATGATATGGTGCTGAAATCTTTCTTTCTTTCATTCATTTTTTTTCCATTTAGAGTACCATATGCCTTTTAAAACATTCGATGATTTCATAAATTTCTTCCTTCATAGAAAAGCTATGTAGATTTCAATAAGAGCTTTTAGATTTAAGGTTTGGATAAAACTTATCGACCTCTCGTGGACTCATCATGCAAACGTTACAAATTTTTGTTTTGTTTGTGAACTAATGCGATGTTTAAATGATACATTAGATCAAGGTTCGAGGATAAAAGGTATTGTTTGCCCCAAAGTATCTTTTGACACCAACCATGATTTCGAATAGCTTATGTTTTCATTTTGACTATCCGTTTTCAATATAATTCCTTCATAGATGCTCATGAATATGATACTTATCCGATTGATAATTTGCCTCAAGTTAGAAAAGACTTTTATTGATACGTAATGTAGGCTAGGGTATGATTTTCTAAAAAAATAGGCAAAATAGGCTCAAAAGGTGTTTCGGGGTTCTCTCGATGTAGGATCATTTTTGAAGTTTTTTTTTTGGGACTCGGATTTTGATTGAAGGCTCGTTTCATGGTGATTTCATCAACTTAATCTTGAAACTTATGCTTGTGAAGTGAGTCACTTTTTCTCTAATATAGTAGGGATTGTTTGTAATGACTTCATATGTATTTTTTTTGAAGACTATAATCAAATCCCTATGGTGGTG